AGCACAAGCCGGAGCTCTAACCATTTAATGTATCTGCAGGATTTTTTAAGCGAGTGGGGAGTCAGCTTCACTCAGCTCTGACTGTCGTCACACTCGTGGGGACGCAGGCCCCCGCTGGCTGCATAATCACAGAAAAGATGATTCGTTTTTAAACATATCTTTTTCCTTTATTGTCAATGAACTCATTTACCGGCGCCCTTGGCACCCTGCCCGGATGTGCTCGTCGGGCATGTGTATTACAGAATACCCGCGATACATACTTCACTGTTAAACCGGTTGAGTTTCTGAAGTTCACAATTAATTACTGACTATTATGTTCATACAGCATGTACACCGGGGAAACCACATTCCCGAAGCAAGTGCAGGGAGGATGTTCAAGATATGGATGAAACACATTCTGGGAAGAAACAACCTGCCGAAAGACAAAAAGCAAATGTTCAAGATATGGATGAAATATAGTCTGGCTACACGCCTGGATAGAAACAGCCTGGTGTAAGAGAAAAAGCACAGACACGGGATGACCAAATATAAGGGCAGGCACACCCAGAGTTAGGCAGAATGTTTTCTCTGAAGCCTCTCCAGACGTGATGCATCAATCAGTACCTCTGACTGGGACCTGGCTGACAATAAAACCCTCTTTTGTTCGACCCAGTTCTGCCGCAGCACAGTTTTTCCCGTGGCACCTTCACTGGAGCTACTTGAAGACGACCATCCCATATTTCGCCACAAACCCGGCGTCACGAACTGAGAAGCTTTTGCTCTGCGATCTCTGCTTTCGCCTGCCTGTCCGGCGGGGCCTACAGTCTCAGAGGCCGGCTCAATACAAAGGAAGAGTTTTTCATCTATTCATTAGAGAGCGATGGGCCAGGCTGGATGGTTCGGGTGGATTCTGCTTTGCAGTTGGGCATGCTGAAATTATCTGTGGGGGAGGTTGTATGATAATGTGTAGTGCTTCAGCAGCTCTGTCTAAGTTACTGCGTAGTGTTTAAAGCGGCCAACAAAGGGAAGTGCTGAGTCAGTAAATGGAACTGCAGTTGTTGATGTTGAGTTTAAGTAAACGAGTTTTAAGTGATGCAGAGAAGCTCACTTGCAAACACACATGGCCACCTCTGATTGTGCACCCAGAAAACCCTGATAAACCTGTTTTCATCTACAAGAAACCCCACACTTGTTTTTTCTGGCACTCTATGCCTGAACCTGACACACCCCACA